TCTGTTTTATTATATGTACCTAGTATTTTATAAATTTAATAAAGATCATGCAAAACTGTCGCACTTCAAAAAAAAAATTCGCCAGGATATCCTTCAATATTTAGGCTTTAAAATATGTACAAGATCATGTTTCTAGCATTTATGGTTGATAAGTTATAGCTGTTCAAAGGTAACTAATTACACTTGCATTTCTTTTGGTAGTCACTGTATATATTATATATTTATTATATTATATATTATAGAAATAGCAAGAAAGAATTCAATTTTTTTCTAAATTTTATTATTTTTTACTAATAACATCAATGATACTAATTAAAAAAAGAAATAAAATAACCTAATAATCTCAAAAAAGCATAATAAATATATTATCAATTTTATACTAGTTAATATATAAAATTAGTAATACTAGTAATATTTAGTAATAAGTTATTAAAAAAAATTTTGGTAATATTTTTAGTGATACACTTGATAACAAAATTTATAATTATTTCATATTTTTAAAATAATTGAATAATCTCAGATAAGAATTATTATGTAATTTAAAAAAAGTATATAAAGATATTATCAAGAGTATTGTTATCAAAATTTTTTATAATAATAGAAAATTTCATAGTAATATTAGTAATAACTAATGATATAAAAATTTATTCTAATTTTTATTCTAATAATTATTCTTAGGATAAAGTTTTAAAATAAAATATATTATATATATTACTTAATATAACTTGTCTTATGCTGATAATTAAAATTAGTATACTTATATCAGAAAATAATTAGATTATAAAATAATGTACTTATTAGCAATCAGATGAACTGAATATGATAAAGTATATTACACCTCTGATACCTTAATTAACTGATTAATAAACTAAACTTCAAAATTATAAAACAGAATCTCAAACTAGTAAAAAATTAAGTAAGTTGCAATTTAATATTAACTGCATTATTATATAATTTCTAGTTAAATTTAAAATGCAATAACTTAACATATAGAATTAATTTAAAATTAATAGAATCTTTTTAACTCTTAGATAATTTTATAATATTCTCCTAATACTATTATATTCTTAAAATGAATTTTTTAGATTATATGCTTTAAGATTAGTTATAGTTATATTATAGTATATATCAGCTAATATTAATTAAAGATTTATTGCATTACCTAAATACTAATAAAATATTATATTTTTTAATTATAAAAAAAGTGTAGAAATAAACTAATACATAAATAGCTTTAGTAATAAAAAGGTGCAAAAGCAGATAGTGAATAAATAGTTCTTTAGTAATAAAATAAAGGCTGAATTAGATCAATATATAGATCATTTTTTTTACAATAAAAGAATTGAAACAAGCAAAAAAACAATCACCACTAGATTATAAAATTACCATTAGATTATTATGTTACAAATTATTATTAAATTATGAAATCACTATTAGATTACATTATTATATATTATAATATAATAGGAAATAACTAAAACAATAATTAAAAGATTAAAAAAAACTTTTTAAAACTAGGTTATGAAATTACTATTAAATTATTAAGATATCATTAGATTATAAATTAGGATATGTAGTTACCATTAAATTATAAAATTAGATTATGATTTTATTACCAGATTATAAACATTACCACTCAATAATAATATCACTATTGGATTATGATACCTCTATTAAATTATGTTATTATTATCATAATCTAATATAAGTTGTCAGTAATTCTTTAAACTAATTAATTTAAAGAATTACCAATGATTAATAGTTTTGATTTTTTATAAAAAATAATTATTTATTATAATAATACTCTAATAGTAAATTATTATATAAAGATTGCTATATAAATAAAAAAAAATTTTTTAATAAAATTAAAAAACTTTGATTTAATAAGATGAAAAAAATATTACTATAATTTACTATTATACTTTTTTATAATCAAGTTTTATTTAAATACTAGGGAAACGGCCATAATATTGAAACTTGTTTTAATTGAATTGAATTGTTAAATCTTTTTGATGATCAATCAAAATTTTCAATTTTTAATTAAAAAAAAAAATTGATTTATTTAGAAACAATAATTACAATTTTCTAATAATTTAATGGAATAATTATAAAGAATGCTAAGGCTTATCCTAAAACGAATAATAAATATAAAAGAAATAGTATTTATATTCAATTAAATATACCAATAAAGAATATGCAAAAAGTTAATATCAATTCATGTTCCGATCAAAATTTCTTTATAAAATGGCGTCTCATTTTTCTTGTAATCACAAAACCCTATGCGAATTCCTAATCCAGTTTATTACTATAATATTTTTTCATGATATGATTGATAACTTGTTAAGTCCGGAACAATCTTTATCGTCGAGCGGGACATTTTGTGTCACCCAGAATAGATCTTATACGGACTAATTAGACTATGCTTTATCTAGCAAATTGCAAACGCCAATCAGCAATCGACTCAATTATTGAGTGTACATCTTTTGAGTCAAACAGCATAGAATGATATAGTTCTTCACTCTGAATTAATTATCGTTATTATTTGTTATTATTAAAAAGGTTAAAATGAAATTTTGTTTTTGATTGGCATATTTTTTTTTTTTTTAATAATGACGTTTAAAGATAATAATAAGGGGCCAATATTTGACTAGATATCACTATATTTGGAAATACCATATTTGGGATTTAAAATTGTATAAATTTGATTTTTTTTTTTTTCAATACTCGAGTATTCACCTAAATTATTAATTAGAACGGTAAAACCTTTAATTAAATATTAAATTAACAGGGTTTTATTTGTCAACAAAGACTTAATATAATAATGTCTTTAGTATTGAGCTCATTTCGGGACACATTCTATGCTGTCACTTCTTGTTGCTTTCCAAACCCAACACTTCATATTAATCGCCGAACTTTCAAGGTGATAAAATTGCTTGGTGAAGGGTAAGATAATGTTTAAAGAGTAAAAATAATAGCTTTTTGTTTTTTTCTTTTACGTATAACTATAACTTTTTTTGAAATTATTTAGGGGGTTCTCCTTTGTTTACCTGGTGCAGGATGCTAGTACTGGCCGACAATATGCTTTGAAAAAGATTCGTTGTCCTTTCGGTAGCGATTCTGTGAAGAATGCTATGAAAGAAGCTGATATGTATAAACTATTTTCGCATGAAAACATCATCAAAGTCATTGTAAGTTTGACAATTTAATTATGATTAAATCAATAAATCGAAAATTTAGGATAATTGATTTTACAATTTATAAATTAGGATACTTGTATTATTCAAGATAAAGATGGTGGCAAAATTGTATATATTTTTTTACCATATTATAAGGTTGGTTATTTTTTATTTGGGATTCATCTGCTTTTTTTTTATAATATGACATTCATAATTAAATCGGCCATATAGAACGGAAACCTTCAAGATGTCATCGACAATAATTTGGTGCAAGATAAACATTTTAGCGAGAGAGAAATGTTGAAAATTTTTCGAGGCATTTGTTATGCTGTTAGAACCCTTCATACTTATAGGTTTCCTAGCGTTCCTTTAAGATCAGAGACTAATGTCATGGAAAATGAAATTAATAATGGTTCAATAACATCGCAATCTAACGAACCGAATGAGGATGATATTGTACCGTTTGCTCATAGAGATATTAAACCTGGGTAAGTTTCTTTTCTTTAATTAATTTATTTATATACCACTTCAAATTTGCTAAATTTAAATTTTCGAATAGTAATGTTTTGCTGTCTGATGATATGCAAACGCCTGTATTGATGGATTTTGGATCTTTAATTCGAGCACGAATAAAGATTCAAACTCGTAATCAAGCTTTATTGCAACAAGATTTAGCAGCAGAACATTCTACTATGCCATATCGAGCGCCAGAATTGTTTGATGTAAAGACTAATGTTGCACTTGATGAAAAGGTTGATATCTGGGTAAGTTGGTAAATTATTGTTAGATATCATCTGTTTATATATTCAATTAATTCAATTAATACTTTTTTTTTCAAAAAAAAAGTCATTGGGATGTACTTTGTATGCAATGGCTTACGGAAAATCACCATTTGAGAATAGTATGAACGAACAAGGTGGATCAATAGCTTTAGCTGTACTCAACGCTCAAGTCCGATTTCCTTCCGTCGAGCAAGACAAGTAAAGAATGAATATTTCTTTTTTTTTTTTTATTTCGTTTTTCATGTTATTTCAATTTAACTAATATTCATTGTATTCAATGTTTGTAGATATTCTCCAGAATTTAGGGATTTAATTAGTGATATGTTAATAGTAGATCCCAAAGATCGGCCAAATATTCATCATGTATGTCTCTTTTTATTCAATTTGTTCCTTTGTTAAGTATCATGAATATTTCTTAATACATATTTTTATATAGGTAATCTCTAAGGTTGACGCGCAATTAGAACAGTTAGGTTCTTAATTAATTTAAAATGAAGTCATGACAATTATTATTATTCTTTTTTTTTTTATTTGAATTTACCCTTAATTTGTACTTTATCATATAAATATTACATTATATTACTAGTAATATTTCAAAAATAAATCAATTTTTTTTATTTCTCTGTATCTTTAAATATATTTTTTTATTTATATATATACAAGTTGCTTTAGCATTTTTTTTTTTTACGTTGCGCATTCTGATTAGTTACATATTATGTAGAATATTACAATATATTATGAAAATACTTTTGCTGATCATATAATAGGATTTAATTATTAATATAAGGATTTTAGTTTGTTTTAAAGTTATAAAATGTAATATTTTAGATATATTAGCATTTTAAATTATATAAAAATTTATTATGATAAATCCTTTTAATCAAATATATAAACTTTTATAATAGATAAATGTAAAATTACAATTAGATTAGTGTAATTATTACTTTTAGTTTCATAAAATATATAAAAAAGGTTAATATATAATAATAATATAATACATAATAATATATGTTATAACTCAGATATGGGGCATGCTGCAACAAAACAAGACAAAGTGAGCATATGGAATAAAACAGCCAGAAAACTAAAAAAAAAAAAT